TCTGAAAATTCATGCAAAGTCTTACATCCACAAGCTTCAAAGAATTATGGGAAAGTCCGGTGACTGAAGGGAGAAAAATCTCACCATAAAAAAAAACACAACCTTTCAGAATCCAGAAGAGATTGCCCCATGGGATCCCTACTGTTGGGAAGAGTCCTTTGGTAGCCTAGTGGCAAGAAGCTGCACTACAATCCTGAAGTTTAAGGCCACTAGCTATTGTGTGGGTTGGGGGGGTGGGGTAGGGGATCTCCCTGGTGGGCAATCTCCCTTGTGATTACTGCCTCTGAAAACCCATAGGAGGGTCAGCTATGGGTTGGTTCTTACTCTATGGTGCTCATCATTACCCTGTCTTTTCACCCAGGTCCTTCCCATTTCCTTCTTCCCCGTCAACCTGTGTAGCTTCATTTGTTCTCTGGTTTCATTGAGAAAATATTCTCCCTAAGGCAAGGGTGTAACCTACATGGAATCCTTCTAACAAGATGGATTGCTCCAGGGACTGTAACGTTGAGCTCAAATATATCAGGGGTAATGAGGATGGCACACAATAAGGCAGAGTTTCGATCTGTTGTTCAAAGGATTGCTGTGAGTTGTAGTTGACTAGCCGGGATGTAACAATAACAACATGATAATGGAGGGGCAACTCATCTTTAGCTGCCTAGGGATTGTTGTTGTTAAATGCTGCCCAGTCTACTGTGACTCATAATAACGCCGTGAACAACAGATTGGAATCTTCTCATATCCTCCACCATCTCATAATCTCTGACATGCTCAAGTCTATTTCTTTTTTCTAAATAATTTTAATGAACATTTACAGAGATTTTGAATTTCCATTCATTCATTGCTGCACTTCTCTCTCTTTTTTAAACATTAAAACTGCTTTCTTAAAAAAAAAAAAAAAACAAAACAAACCCCAAACACAAAAACCAAAAAACCCCCCAACTGCTTCCTTTTAATTTTTTCCCATTGTTTCACATTTCCCTCTCCCTCCACTCAAAACCCAAACCCCAGTCCACTTGGTAATGGACCCCTTGCTCTGGATTATTCTATATATAGATGTTGTTGTTGTTGTTATGTGCTGTCAAGTCACCTGTGACTCATAGCGACCCTATGTACAACAGCCCTAAACTCCGCTCTGTCCTGTGCCAATTGCACTGTCTCTGAC